CCCATAATGTAGAACTATAAAGGTAAGCCCACATTAGTTTATCCGTCATGGATAACATTACCTCATGCAAGTTCTTCACCTCAAGACCCCTTCTACATAAGGTTTAGAAATTTTTACCCAGCTAAGCTAATGGTGTCTCCCGTTATCCCTAGTGTTCCGGAAAAAGTTAGCAATACAACTCTAAATTTATAGCACTATCTTCTTTGGGACTAGCATAACCGCCATCGTGTGAACAAAAAGAGAAGAACTAATAACCTAGATCAATGTGAGCTTACCTCCCATAGATAGAAGTTTACCTTTCCAACTTACCAATTTTTTGTTAATTTTTTCTTCCAATAATTCAAAGTAAGATAGTTTAGCATGCCCTCAAGAGAGGAATCCCCGAGTAAAGAATGGTCGGCTTTGAATTCCCAAAACTAGTCCACCTCTCGTAAAAGTTAAATCCAATTCAATAAGAGTTTGTTGTTGTATAAAAAACCACTTTTTCCATTGTTAATCAATTGACCACTATACGCATAGTATTTGTTCAATAGGCTTATAAGATTATCCACCAAGGGCTTCGAACCATTATTGAACAAGTATCATATCATCTTTAGATAATAAATGACTCACAATTAGAATGATAGGATTGTAGTTGACCTAAAGTAATTCTATTAAAATGATAGGGTTGTAGCTAAGCTAAAGTAATTTTAAAGTTCAAATTCTTGATTAATAAATCTTGAGCAACTATGAATAAGCTAGAGAGAGAAGGTCCCCTTGACGCATACCTCTTTTTGATTTGAAAAAGCTAAATGAACTTCTATTCAACACCATAGAGTACCGTAGTTATTCAAGTAACGGCGAATAAGAAACATCGATCTTTAGAGAAACCAAATTTTGATATGGTTTTGAGCAGAAAGCCTGTTTAGATGATCATAAGCTTTCACCATATCCACTTTAAATAGCACATTCCCTCCAAAAGCTTTTTGATCCATTTTCCGAAAGAGTTCGTATGCTAGTGGTCTTCCTCAGTAGAATTTAACGATTTGAGAATATTCAAATAGTTTTGATTGATTGCTATAAGTCAGCTATTAAGAACTCCATAGTAGGTTCACCTTCATATGGGATCGATGGTTTAGAGATAATATAAAGTAGAGGAAACAAGTACGTAGTTGGGTTCCCGTTTAGAGTGGTGGCTACATAGGAAGGTTTTTGCTTTGGTTGTAGTAATGACTCATACGAAGAGGCAGGTGGGACAAAAGGTTGTGTGAGAAAGGAATGAGAGCTTGATAATGGGGGAAAGGGAGCAAGTATCCCATATCGGGGATCCCTACAAACTACAACGCTTTTGGTGGAAGTTAAGGTTTGTCATGGCCAATGTGCTCTTGAAATTTGAATTTAGGGATTTTTTTGATTAAATTAGGGTTAATAAGGGTTAGATTGTGGTTAATTAGGATTAATTTATGATTAAATAAGGGTTAATTTAGGGTTAATTTAGGTTAAATTAGAATTACTAAGTGGTTAAATTAGGATTAATAAGGATTAATTTAGGGTTAAATTACTGGTTAAATTAGGGTTAATTTGGGTTAAATTAGGATTAAATTGGGGTTAAAAAGGATTAAATAAGGGTTCAATTGGGGTTAATTAAGGTTAATAAGAGTTTATTAAGGCTAAATTAGGGTTAATTAGGGTTAATTTAGAGTTAATTAGCGTTCATACATGATTAAATTAGCATTAATTAAGGTTAATTTAGGATTAATTTAGGTTTAGTTATGGTTAAATTAGAGTTAGTTAGGGTTAATTTAAAATAGTTCTTAGTTGATTACTTAAGTTAAATTTATTATGGTGAATTGTATTATGTTGATTTAAATTAAATTTAGGGTTAATTTTGGACAGATTGAAGATGATAAATAGTGAAATACAAATTTTATGATTTATTAGTTAATTGTTGTGTAAAGAGTCTATTTATGAGTTTATTGATTTAATTAGAGGATTTATTATGGATTTTTTTAATAATAGAAATTAAATTTCTTAAGGAGGATAATTGTTGAATTGCAAACAAACTAAGGTAAACATAGTTTAACTCACCACAATGACTTTATGTGTGAATGTGTTATATAATTAAATGAGTCTTTAGATGCATTTTATATGCATTTACGTCATAAGCATTGATCTACATATTTTATGAAATGCATTAAAATCATGTTATGCATGAAAGGTAAAGGTTTTGGAAAAGGTGAATGGTAAAGGTAATGTTTGGTAAAAGTAATTCCGAATTTGGACAAGTAATATCACCATGCAAAAACAAATGAGTAACCGACTCCATTGAAGGCTTTTTACAACAATGACAGTAAGAAGGCATATCCATACCACATCTTTAGCCATCCCATTATTGATTACTTTCCAAGATAAGATTGCTATTTTACCCGGATTCCATCTATTCTAAAAGTACTTCCACCATTCAAATCTAAACCCAAAAGTCCTCAAATTGTGCTAAAAGATGTTAGTTTAGAAATCTTCATTTGTGGGAGCTCGTGAAAATCATTCTATCCCGTTTATTAGGTAAAATCCATATGAAGCATAAAGCTTACTACATTGTGAGTGAAAGCAAAGACAAATTAGAAGTATTCCTCAACACTTCCTTCACCGAGATATCTATTAAATGACCCATATCATCCAAACACCAATGGCCCGGAGAAATATTTCCCTCACCAACTAGCCATTTAGAGCTATTGTTAAAGAAATAGATATGAGGTAGGAGGTGTCTCTATACAAGTGAATCGCTAAGAATATCCGAAGCCAATGAACTATGAGAGCCATATTTAGAGTTCACAAAACCAGCCCATAATCTAGAACTATGAAGGTAAGCCCACACTAGCTTATCCTTCATGGATAATAACATTACCTCATGCAAGTTCTTCACCTCAAGATCCCCTTCTTCATAAGGTTTAGAAATTTTTACCCAGCCTAAGCTAATGGTGTCTCCCATTATCCTTAGTGTTCTAGAAAAAGTTAGCAATGCAACTTTAAATTTATAGCACTATCTTCTTTGGGACCGGCATAACTGCCATCCTATAAACAAAAAGAGAAGAAATAACAACCTATATCAATGTGAGCTTAACTCCCATAGATAGAAGTTTACCTTTCCAACCCATAAATTTTTTGTTGATTTTTTCTTCCAAGTAATTGAAAGTAAGATAGTTTAGTATGCCCCTTGAAGAGAGGAATCCCAGAGTAAAGAATGTGCGGTTTTGAACGCCAAAAACTAGTACACAGCTGTAAAAGTTGAATCCAATTCAATAAGAGTTTGCTATTGCATAAAAAAACCACTTTTGCCATTATTAATCAACTGACCACTACACGTATAGTATTTTTTCAATAGGCTTATAACATTATCGACTAAGGGCTTCGAACCATTACTGAACAGTAGCATATCATCTATAGATAATAAGTGACTCCTAATTAGAATGATACGGTTGTAGCTGACCTAAAGTAATTCTGTTAGAATGATACGGTTGTAGCTGACCTAAAGTAATTCTGTTAGAATGATACGGTTGTAGCTGACCTAAAGTAATTTTAAAGTTCAAATTCTTGCTCAATAAATCTTGAGCAATTATGAATAAGCTAGAGAGAGAAGGTCTCTTTAACGCATACCTCTTTTTGATTTGAAAAACCCAAATGAACTTCTATTCAGCACCATAAAGTACCAGAAGTTATTCAGGTAACGGTGAATAAGAGAACACCAATCTTTAGAGAAACCAAATTTCTACATGGTTTTGAGCAGGAAAACCACTTTAGCTGCTCATGAGCTTTCGCCATATCCACTTTAAATAGCACATTCCCTCCAAAATTTTCTCGATGAATTTTCTGAAAAAGTTCGTATGATAGGGCTACTTTTTTTCTAAATTAATCGTCCTTTAACAAAACTAGATTGTTCTTCTAAGATAGTTAGTGGTAAAAATATGCCAAGGCTTTGTGATAAAATCCTAAAAATTATCTTGAAAGGGACATTACATAGGCTAATAGGTCTCAAATCACTGTAAGATGAAAAGGTTTTTACATTTTGGTATTAGCACCATAGACATCGTTGTTAATGCTTTTGGGATAGGCCCACCTTTAAACACAACTTGGATTACTTGAATTAGAGACTGGCTAATCAAATCCCAGTAGGATTGATAGAAAGCACCAGTAAATCCATCTGGAAATGGGGTACTCGATGGATTTGTGTCAAAGATATCCTATTTTATTTTTGAAGTAGTTGGGACTTCTGACAGCAAGTAACCAATGTGACAATAGCTTTAAGAAGCTAATCAGGAAGAGCCATTGGATTAGATTTTAGAAGATTTTTAAAATACGTGACTACACTATTGCCTAAAGTTGCCTCATTAGTGTAAGTTACACCAATGATTTTCAATGATATTTTACTCTTTTGCTGATGCGCTTTTATACTTACATTAAAAAATGCCTGGTTTCTATCCCTCTTCTTAAGCCTTATAACTCTTGCCTTCTTCCTTAGAAATATTTCTTCCTATAAAACGAGTGAAGAAAGCCATGCCTTTACTTCCACCTATCTTTGAACATAATCGTTTATGGAAAAAATAATAAGCTCAGCTTCTTGATGGGTAACCTCAGCCTCAGCCTCAAATATGTAGCTATATATGGTTCCATATACTTCCCAATTCCAAGTATGAAGCACTCGACTTAGCACTTTCAGGTTCAGTTGAAAATTGGTAAGAGCATTTGGAGTATCATGTTAACGCTAGTGTTATTCAACCAGCCAAACAAAGCTATCATAATGAGTCCATATTTGTTTGAACGTGAACCTGGCAGGTTTGGATTATCTCTCCTTAAAGGAAAAAAAGTAAAGGGTAATGATTAGAGAAAACCTTAGGAATATGGATGCACTCCAAACAAGCATGTTTCCTTAGAAGGGAACATTGCAAAGTCATCTGTCTAATCCTTCTTAAATTCTTATAGTTCTTGTATGGATAATACACCATGTAAAAATATTATCCACGTACCCAACCTTTATCAGTCCCCCCTGATTAATGAATTGAGTGAACTCCTCCATAGCATATAAAGTAGGAGCATGCCTTTCTACTTTTTCAGTATGTGAGGTGATGATGTTGAAATCACCATAAACAAGCCAAGGAGAAAGGGCATCGATTTCTAGCAAGTAGTGCCACAATTCCCTGTAGGCAATCTTGTTACAATTTCCATAAATACAAGAAAACAAGCAAGTCCTAGGGATAACAGTATTGAAGATCTCTATTGTGATGGCTTGACTACAAGAGTTATGAAATGAAATATTGAAGTTTCTAAAGAGAATCCAAATATGAGTATTTGTAGGGCTACTGTGCAAAAAACTAATCATATTTTAAAAAATCTAGCCAGGTCCTCAATTTCTCACCTTGTAACTTTGGTTCAAGAATAATAAGGAAATTAACTTTATGTAATATTATCATCCCTTTAAGGCATATACATTTATCCATATAGTTAATTCCTCTAGTATTCGATACAATACAACTCATTAAGGAAAGGAGAGGAATGTGTTACCACAAGGATCCTTAGAGGATCTAGTACTACGCCGTGTATCTGTCATGATCGAATGAGCCTTCTTATTCTTCTTCTTATGGTATTTTAGGATTACAAAATTCCCCTTCTCCATAATGATGGGCTATAAAATGATCAACTAATTTTTAGCTTTAAATTCCTCCAGTTTTGAGCGAGCTAGGGAGTTTGTTCATTGTAAGTTATCACCCCTAGATAGAGAGCCTGATTTTGGGGATAAGCATACCCCTTCCTTATCTACTGCATAATTATCATCCTTACTATATTGGAGAACTAGATCAGACGTTGTTGTCTCACTTTGTTATACTAACCTCCTAAATAGTTTTTCCCTTTATTTTTTTAATCACCGATCGACCTTGTTTCTCTAAAAGTTCTAAGCAACCTTGAAGATTTGATTCTGCCCAATTTTACTTTTCCATATAAGCATCAGAATCTGAGCATGACGAAAGCTTAGTGTTTACTTGCCCAATTGGCACAATATCATCTATAATGATGGAAGGAAGCCCACGTAGAGGAACAAATGTTTTTAACATATCATGCTCCTGTAGTAAAGCCACAAATGAATTTGGCATTGTATGCTCTTGTAGTAGAGCTATAGTAGGTTTAAGGTCTATGATTGGAATATGACTGTTCATACACTATAGAGTTTTTCTGTTTTCTCCTCCCCTCCTGAACTTGAACCCTGTCATTCTGAAGGCTGCATGTATGTAAGCCTGAGATGCACTGATTAGAGACTAATGGCATGGTCTGATAAAAACCTATGGAACAAGTGGATGTCCCTCTTGTGTCTTATAGGATATCTTTTAAAAATGCCATAACTGGAGAATAAAGTTGTATCTCTTTGCCTTTTCTGTTACCTTTACATCCTTATGACTTTCTTTCCTCTTTAAAATTTGCCAAAGTTGTCTATTTCCCATAGTTCCTATTAGGTTTCTAGATTAGATTTTGCCGTGTAACCTATGATAGTTTACGACATAGAGCTTATATATGACTTTGTAGCCTACAATGATCGTAGAAAAAAATCTTGGACTCAATCTAAAGAGACTACCAAAACCCTTTATTTTTTATCATCGTTGACTAATATCCAGACCATAAAAGGCAGCATTACTTTTAGATCTACCTCCATGCAGACCCTAGTGTGCATAGGATGAGACCCATTCACTGTTCTTTCATCTGGGTGCAGAAAAGTATCGATTGGGCGAACAATTTCCCTTAAAAAAGGCTAAGGGAAAAAAGAAGAGAGAGGTTTGAAAGTTTAACCCAAACTACTACCATTGAGGATTTATATCGCGTGTTGAATGATTCATCTCACTTAAATAAGCTATATAATGAGTTCTCAACTAGGTGTGAATAATTGGACCAAGTCTCGATAAGAAATTATTTGAAAAACATACAGATCAATACTTGCTTGGGATTAATTAAGCCTATAGTTGGAGGTTTTGTAAGCCCCTAATACTGCTTGATATGCACTCTAATAATGTTGATGAGGGGTCTTCGTCTAGAGAATTTAACGATTTGAGAATGTTTAAATATTTTTTATGATTGTTGTAAGTCAAGTATCGAGAACTCCAAAGTAGGTTCACCTTCATATGGGATCGACAGTTTAGAGATAATATAGAGTAGAGGGAAACAATGGGTAGTTGGGTCCCTGTTTAGAATGATGGCTACATAGTAAGGTTTTTGCTTTGGTTGTAGTAATGACTCAGACAAAGAGGTAGGTGGGACAAAAGGTTGTGTGAGAAGGGAATGAGAGCTAGATAATGGCGGAAAGGGAGTAGTATCCCATATGGGGGATCCCTACAAACTATAATGCTATTGGTGGAAGTGAAGGTATGTCATGGCCAACGTGCTCTAGAAATTTGGATTTAGGGATTGTTTGATTAAATTAGGGTTAATAAGGGTTAAATTATGGTTATTTAGGCTTAGTTTAGGGTTAATTTAGGATTAAATAACGATTAATTTGGGTTAAATTAGAATTAATAAGGGTTAAAATAGGATTAATTTAGAGTTAAATTAGGGTTAATTATGGTTAAATTAGGGTTGATTTAGGTTCAATTAAGATTAAATTGGGGTTAAAAAGGATTAAATAAGGGTTGAATTAGGGTTAATTAAGGTTGATAAGAGTTTATTAGGGCTAAATTAGGGTTAATTTGGGTTAATTTATTGTTAATTTAGGATTAATTAGCGTTCATAAGGGTTAAATTAGCATTAACTAAGGTTAATTTAGGATTAATTTAGGGTTATTTATGGTTAAATTAGAGTTAGTTAGGGTTAATTTAAAATAGTTCTTAGCCGATTACTTAAGATAAATTTATTATGGTGAATTGTATTATCTTAATTTTGGACAGATTAAAGATGATAAATAGTGAAATACAAATTTTGTGATTTATTACTTAATTTTTGTGTAAAAAGTCTATTTATGAGTTTATTGATTTAATTAGAGGATTTATTATGGATTGTTTTAATAATAGGAATTAAATTTCTTGAGGAGGATAATTTTTGAATTGCAAAAAAACTAAGGTAAACATAGTCTAACTCACCATAATGACTTTATGTGTGAATGTGTTATATAATTAAATGAGTCTTTAGATGCATTTTATATGCATTTACGGCATAAGCATTGATCTACATATTTTATGAAATGTATTAAAATCATGTTATGCACGAAAGGTAAAAGTTTTGGAAAAGGCAAATGGTCAAGGTAATGTTTGGCAAATGCATAGATTTGGTAAAGGAAAAAAGGACTAGAAATAACGTCTAATAGTGGTACTTACATAAAAGAGAAATTTATTCACGGATATCATGAAAGTTTATAAAATGTCATGTATGACCTTGATTACTATGCATTAGCATATGTTTTATCTTACGGTGTAGGTGAAGAGCTTTTGGATCATGAAGTCTCCATATATGTTGATGATGCAGCCAATGCATTTTCAAAACACTTTTGTGAAAGGATTAGACTTTGGTCTTTTTGAGTAGTTGGTTGTTAGGTTTAAGTGGCAACTTGAAGTTTATTACATATTTAGCTTTATGATCTTTTGCTAGTTGACCACTTTATTTTTAATGTTTATATTTGAAGTTCTAAATTGTATATAGTTTTTTTTTTTTAAGTAAATATGTTTAGCTATGACTTGGGTTAAAAATTTTGAGATTTCACATTTTATATATTAAATTATAATCGTATGATGGAAAGTTAGGAATGTAGTTATTACATTTGGATTTTGTTTGAGTGAGATTGCAATAAAATGCTAGGATTTTTACTTATATTTGAGTTGAGATATGTCTTATATGTAGCAACCTTTTATTTATGATGCCATAACGTATAGGTTCAAGTGTAAGGCATTGCAAGAGGAATCACGTAAACCCTTAATCCAAGAGCATCAATTGATAATTGTAAATTAAAACGATTAGAAAATAAATCGAATGGAAATTAATTACTTCCGTCTTAATTTTAGTTAGCCTTTGTAAGATACTATCACTAAGCAAAATTCTAGCAATGTAGTTTTTTCTTCCTCTAATAAAAGTCAACAAGTGAAAGAATTTCGTATTCTAAACGACACCAATTGGCCTTAGTTTTTTTTTTTTTTTTTTTTTGTCTCCATAATGACTTTAGCTTCCTACTAATATCACATAAGCTCACCCGATGACTTCTCAAAGTATCCAGTTGTGATTAGCAAATGCTTCTAGATGTTAGAGAATAATATAAATCATATCTTGAGGCTTTACCTAACGAGCTTAAAATTTTGGGTGAGATGGTCCTTTGACATGATATCAAAGCCTTGATAACCAAATGGTCATGAGTTAGAATCCTACCCACCCCATTTTCTCTTCTAATTAATTAAACACAAGGTAGTATGGGTCCGTGCAAGTTTCAAACCCAAAGGGCTTTCACTTGAGGGGTGTATTAGAGAATAATATAAATCATATCTTAGGGGTTTACCTAACAACTTAAGCTTTTAGGTGAGATGGTCCTTTGACACTAAATTAACTTACCAACTCCAAAACATTAATATCTCTCTTTGAAGCCTTCGTTTTCTATCTCATAAATTACAAAATTACTTAAATTAGCTTACTCAACACCTTTTAATTTTCTCCGAGTGTGCAATTATTCCTCTTTAAAAGTGATGCAATGATGAAAGCTCGCTCCAGACTTCCTTGATGTTATCATCTTTTATTTACAGATCCTAAGACATACACTCGGTTTCATCAAAAAACAAAGTTCTTCAAAAGTTTTTACCTTTAACTTTCTACTTCAACTTAAATATATTGGATATAATAGAAGCAAGATGAGTAAAAAAGAAAGATTTATAATTGATAAGATTTGGTTGAGCTGTTGCTCGATACCATTTTTTCTCTCTCTTGTACAACGGAATAGAAGAGGACTCTATTTAAGAAAATTTAGAGAAAATAGAAATTTAGAGACATAATAAATCCTAAAGTATAGAGAGTACAAAAGGATCTTTGACTTAAAAAACAATTTGACAAGTAAAAATTACAAATTACTTCTTCTTATTAACTATATTATGAATGAAATAATGGTATAATTCAAGGTTTTTAGATCTACTATGAAAGACATGGTTATTATTCATGGACATAGCTGATATATTGTCATATAAAATGACAAGTAAAGAGCTACTACTCCTTATCTTTTCTTTTTATTTTTCATTCTTGTAGAAAATATTAAAAGAGGACTTTATTTGAAAACATTGATAGGGAATTCTAATAGAAAATTCTTGAAACACAATCAATTCCAAAGCCTAGAGAATACAAATGTCCTTGGACTAAAAAAACAATTAATGCAAACATTTAAAATTACAAATTACTTATTAACAAAATATTAGAACACTTAAATCTGGAAATGGTAATTATAAATGGAGATAATTAATAATGCAAATAGTCTAGATTCAATATCATCTATCATGTTTACAATCACTTGTTAGAAGTAAGAATAAAGATCAATTATCCGATGACTAAATATAAGAATGTTTGACTTTGTTTTTGTGAAAAATTAAGCCAAGATGAATACTTGTAAGATATTTTTAGTTATTTCTAAATTTAATCCTCTAAAGGATTAAGGAATTCAAAACTTTTCTTCTCAAGTTGATGGATGAAACTAAAATTTCAGTATTGGTGCTTGCGTATGCCAAAACTTTGAAGTAGTAAAAACCTTAACTATTGATTGATTTTGGTGTAATTATTCAAAGCTCCACTACAATGTAGTTAAGTGATTTAACTTGATATGATTTTCATGAGATTTAGAAATCCACTACACTCTTAGTTAGATTTGGTCGATTGATAGTACCATCTTAATTGATCAAGTTCAAGGATATAAAACATGCCCTAAGTAAAGCTCAAGGAAACATAATGTTAAGAGAAATGTCTCTAGAGTTTTATGAATCAAATCACAAGTTATTTTTCTATAAGAAATAAGATCCTATTTATAATTACCATAATCGACCACATCAAGGAAACAAAGTCCTTGTTACATTCAGCTTCTAAGTCCCTTTCATACTCAATTAGGACTAATTAGTTCTATCTCATA